GAGTATCAGCTGCTCTGGCATCAGAAGTGTGCAGGAGATGCAGTCGCAGGTGCTAGTCTTTCCCAAGGGCAACCGAGTGGGTGAACAGGGCGTTGTGAAGACAGTCATCTGACAGAAAGTAAGTGTGGGTTAGTGTTGTGTAAAATGAATGTTCAAAAGCTAAGTAACAAATTTGGCAATGCCGAGGGTCTTCTGAAGGGTTGGGTAAAAATACATTTCATCATCAGTTTTCGCTTCAGAAATGTTGTATCAGCGTTTTCCACAGTGTGTTCATAGATCTCTGCAAGATGTTTAATAGGCATTAGGTAGATAAAGTAGCTCCATAGTCAAATGCATTGTGAAAAAAATCTAAACTTTCTTTACTAAAGGATTTCTCAGAGCCTTTAAATATGTTAAAGTATATTGAAATCACCTAACAGGGAACACCCTCTGCAGGTTTTCCTCATACTTTCGACCACAGAAATATTTTTTCCAGATGAACTCCTTGAAACTTGTGTTTTGTAGATTGCATTCTCAGATACTGAGTTCTAGATCATTCCTCTCTAATCAAAGAAAAGAAAGAAAACAGTTTTCTGTATTCGCAACTTTTCGTTGCTGGCAGGCCCAACCCTGGCCACACCAGCCCACTCCTAGTCCTGTTTGGCTTTAGGGCACTCCAAAATTACCATCCCTCTTCCCAGATAAGATATGGCCAGTTTTAGGGGGGAAAAAGTAAAACAGATGAAGACCAAAGTCTCATCTTTATTGCCTGTAAAGCTGGTGTTGAAGAATGTGGCTTCTATCAAGGAGCAAATAGGTTTCCTAATCTGAACCCTGGAATTAGATTGAGCTCCATCCGGTTACAGGATATGCTGGCCTGGAGCAGGCTTCCCCACAACGGAGGAGGTCCCTGTGGAGGGTCAGAGCAGAGAGAGCCACGTTCTCTGTGATCCTCCCATCCCCAAGACAGGGGAAAGGAAGGGACAGGACCACAGAACCACAGCAGCCAGGCCCTCCGAAGTCACTGGGCTGGATTAGAGGGACGCCTGGGGTGACTGCTACTAGAGCTTCCTCTTGATGAGTTGGGTGCTCTCTCCCCCACCCACTACCAAGCCCCCCACCCAAGCAAGTCTCCTCTAGGTGACCCAAATAGGCATTTGGGTTCCCTTCTCATCATCGGGGTTTTCTCTCCTCACCATCTTACGTATCCCTAGTGCTCACTCCTGACCAACATTTCTTCTCTCCCTCAACCCAATTCACCCAGCAGAAGGGAATCGTGATCACAGTCTAATGACTGTCCCTTCCTCATCTCCTTACAGAATTCAAACATATTTCAGCCTTTTATCTGAAAAGGTGGAGTACATATATTCTCTAAAACAGGGATCAGGAAATTACAGCCTGACAGTGGTCTTTGTAAAGAAAATTTTATTGGGGTACAGCCGCACTCACTGGTACATTCAAGAAGTTGCAACCAAGACAGTGTGGCCCACAAAACCTAAAATGTTTACTGTCAAGCCCTTTACAGAAAAAATGTTGCCAACCCTTACTCTAAACTATAGATGAATTTCACTTTGGTTCTTTAAATCCCAAAAGAGCTTCATTCGTATGCGTATGTAGCCTTTATCATTTACTCACTCAAAATAAAAACTGTATTTTAAACCAAGAAGATGGCATGTTGTAGTATAAGAGGGATTTTGGCTCTTAGGAAAGTGTTTCTTGCCTACCAAACCTCTAGAAAAGTATCCAGGGGACTGTGTGTGCTTTGAAGGACCCGAAGAAGGACTTGCCGTGGTCAGAAGCATTTGTGGTCATCAGTGGAAAGGGCAGATAATCCATGGGGCCTAAGGCAGAAAAAAGGAGTCAAGAGAAGTGTCTAGGGGCCCAGGCATTGGACCAGCACAAGATCCTGTTGCGGCGAGCAGGAGCCCTGGGCCCTTCTCTTCACTCCCAGTTCCCTAACTCAGAGGTGCCATTCCTCCCCCTCAGCCCCCAGCCCTCAGAACCTTCCACTGGATCCCTAGAGGTGTCAGGAGACTGGGTTCTGCCCCTCCTGAGACTGCCTTCTTCCTGGGAGGCCTGGGGCATGTCACTGCGTGCCCTGGCCTTTAGGGTTCACTCACCAGCTGTAAACTGGGAGCTTGGGGGGCAGGGGGAGGTTTACTGCACCATAGTGAAAATTCAATGTGCCAGTGTAAAAAAAGGCTTTATGAAATGTAAAGTACTGTGAAAGTGTTGGTTGTTTTCTCTTGAAACAACTGGTTTGCAAGTGAAATTTTTGAATCTATACAGCACAAAAATTAGAGTTAACTGAGGTTTGAAAACTAAAGCACCTTATTTCACGTTTGTCACATGCATCTTTATTAATTGTTAAAACTCAGTTCGTGTGGGTTATAAAAAATGGATAAAATAACTGAATTTTTACCATGACAGAATAATTCATCAGTGGGAGGAAGAAAATACCAAAAGTCACATTTCTTTGTGACTTTTTTCCCCTGCTGTTTGTGTAGTTTTCATTTTGTGCCTTTGTTTATAGAGAATACTCCTGCAGATGGCATTTTTCCCTGTAATCGGTTATTGTCTTATCTGAGTCATCGCCAGACCTGGCATTTCAGTAAATAGTGATTCTATAACCGCTTCCAGGCAAACGTGTTGTGTGATGTCAGGAACACTGGCTGATAATCCTTCTGGTTACTCAGGCAGTAGGGAGAAACAGGGAACGTCTTGTGTAGATACACACCCTGACATCAGCAAGTGGCAAAGGAAACACACTGAACGCTTTCAGCCAAATGATTTTAGCCAGATACAGTGTTTGTGTGGCTATGGGATGAAGCAATAATCATTTTAAATGTAAAAAAAATTTCTTGAGTTTTTTTTTTTAACCTAAAAGGCAACAAATCTCGGGCGATACGTATTTTCTGTAAGCATCATGCATGGGAGTTACTAAACACACCTCGACCTCATTGTAGAGAGGTTCGCTACCTTGGCTGTTCAGGCTGCCTTGCTCTCGGCCTATAACCGAGCGAACTAAACTCCTGGTTCATTGGTTTTGCCACCTGTGATTATCTTATCCCTAACTTCCAGAGAGAAGTGGATTTCTAAAACTAAGATTCTTCCTAATATGCAAATAAATGGTCCATTTAAACAATCACTTAAAATCAATCAAAAGAGTTTAGTGATATCCTAGGTCACTAAAGTAGGTTGATTTAATTTTTCACTTAAAATTATTAACTTTATTTTCTTATAGATGTAACTCAAAAGTTCCTAATGCTTTTCTTTTAATATGATTTATATGTGTGTGTGTGTGTGTGTGTGTGTGTGTGTGTATATATATATATCTTTATTGATTTCAGACAGAGGAAGGGAGAGGGAGAGAGAGAGAGAAACATCAATGATGAGAGAGTCATTGATCGGCTGCCTCCTGCACGCCCCTGACTGGGGATCAAGCCCACACCCTGGGCATGTGCCCTGACCAGGAATCAAACCACGAACTCCTGGATCTTAGGTCGATGCTCAACCGCTGAGCCATGCCTGGCTGGGCTTAATATGATTTTTTTAAATTAACTCTTTTAAAAATCTAATAAGTTATACCACAATTATGGATCACTAGTAACAATACATTATAGCGGTATTTCATAAATTTGCCTTTTAAGTTTCACAAATATGTTTTAGAAGAAAGAGACCAACTGTACGCTTAAATACAGTTTTTATTACATACCATTTAGTATTACTTTTTCACAGTTTTATAGACTGGAAGCCATAAAGAGAAGTTCACTAACTAATTCAGCTAGTTTTTGTTAAACACCTATTATGTGCTGGGTCCTGCCCAGCTATTATGTTACACATAGCTGAGAGCAAAGCTTATAGGCTGGAATATGTATTAATATGCTTGGATTTTAAACATTTTGGGGAGTTCCTAAGTAAAATAACTGTCTTAAGTAAACAAACTACCAATTTAATTCTTGCTTCATGATTTTAGAATTTAACAGAATTTTATTTAATCCTTTAAAATTTCCACGAAGTTCTTTCTTCCTTGGTAAACTAAACTTTTGTGTTTCATATGGAAAAGTTAACCTCAGCCTTTCTTACTTTCATACTTTCCATACTCTCCAATCAAGACTTGTGATCTTCCTTCTATTAACAAATTCCTAACCTTTAGTGTCAGCCAGGTCATCGCCTATGAATTTCTTAACTAACCTGTTGTGGACATTCCTGAGCTGGCTTAATTTTATGGGATGAGCAGTTTACAAATTACTAAATTAACCTCTCATTATGCTTTAAAGGAATAGGCTAATTGTTTATTTATGTAACCTGTGTTAATCACAGACCGTTAGTGATAATAAAAAAATAAAAATAGGCCATCGATAAATCAAATTATGCTTATGCTTGCCTATGTTTGTGTTGTTGGAGCCAACCTAGTGGCCAGCTTCATTTAGTAATGTCCTCACCCGGGGAGCAGCCTTAAGGGTCAAAGAAGAACTGAATGCTGGCTGCGAATTTGTTCATTTTTTCCCCTGCTATAAAGATTGTTCACCATTTGGTTAATTATTGCACACAAACATATATATTGAATTCGAGGCAGATCCACAGATATATAAACCTTCTAAAGAATAAAGCTAAAAAAAAAAACCAACAAACTAATTTGGAGGACAGTTATTCATATTATAAAGACTTATAATTTGAAAATAATTTGCCTTATCTTCTTTAAGTTGTAAGCTTTCCTAGTTTATTTGAAATATGGCTTGACTTACAAAAATGTGAATTCACTTTCTTTTTCCAGTGTAAACTTTTATAAAACAGGATACAGTTCTGGTTTAGGTTGAATGTGTATATATATATTTACAGATGATATCTGAGACCCCAATAAAATCACAATTCTTAAAATTCACTTATTTACTTTGTAACAAAGGAAATAGTAGTTGATTCCATAATGTGGAACATATAATATCAAAAGATGTTTCAAAGAAATAGAAGACAATTTGGCCTCAATGGTATGGTAAAGTTTTTTGTTCTTTGTTTCTTAGGAGATACAGCAGATGAGCAAAGAATGGCAGCAAGAGGTACAACTTCAGAAGTAGAAGGCGATCAACCGGTAGGTGAAATTCCCTGAGTCCTTTTGGGGTGAAACCGAACCAGTCTCGATGGTTATGTGTTTCTCTGAGGCTGAACAATAACTTCTCTTGCTATGCAGACAGGTGTCTAGATACCAGGAAACAGGTGACCTGCTCAAAATTGGGGTGACAGTACAGCATGGCTTCCCAAGTGCTACGCTTCTCCTTGTGCTGGTAATGGAAACTTTCTGCCAAAAAAAGAGAAATAGAGCATTCAAGTTAAAACTTTTGAACTATTTTTAATTGAGTGGTTATTTTCTAATACATTTGAATAAATAGATAATATGTGAACATATAAGGGAAGGTTTGAAAATAATCTCTTCAGAACTATATTACATTACCAGCTCCAGCATCAAAATGCAGTCCTTGACATTAGTCAGTAGAAAGACTAGGGTCCGTTGGGGAGAGAAAGGGACATCTGTAATATTTTAAACAACAACAACGAAAGAAAGACTCGGGTAGCGTATTTGTTCTCTGCCGCATGAAAAAATTGATTCGCTCCTTGAGGGTGCTCTTTTGTACACTATGTAGAAATGTACTAATGTTATTTAACCACTGAAATAATTTTTAAGACTTAGGGGGAATGTTAATTCTTAGGGTGGAAGGGGTATCCATGAATTTTGAAACTTTCTACGTGGTGACACTCCTCTACGTATATTCTACGGTGGCACAGGAGGGTATTGATGTATACAAATGGAGTGGGGTCCGGGTCCTGGCCCATTTGGTTCATCTCTCTATCCCCAAAGCCTAGCGTAGAGTAGGCAAAGAGATTTGTTAAATGACTGAATGAATACAATCATGAATTGTAAGTAGCCAGCAATATGTGTTTTAAGAACAGAGATTTTTATTTTTTTATATTTAGATTTTCCATAATGAAGGAATATTTTATAATCAAGAAAAAAGCTTATTTAAAGAAGTGATGTAGGAAGGAAATTGATGTAGAGGAAGAAAAGAGTCATCTTTCGCATAAAACTGCGCATTTGTTTTTGTTCATGCACGCGACAAATGTTAAGCACTGACTGTATTCAAGGTGCTGTGTAAGAACTGAGTATACAGTGGTGAAAACACAGATACAAGAACAAAGAACTATGTTCATTCTATACATTGAAGCAACTTGATCTCTTTCATTTATTCAAACATTTAGTGAGTGCTGACCTTATGTATAAGTAGCATCTTTGATGGGAAATAAAGGTTGATGTATTTGGAGTTTGGGAAAGACCCCTCAGAATGGTTTAGAAATCGTCCACGATTATTGAGTTTAATTGCTTAGTTATGGGATTCACTGGAAATGTCTGTGGTACTTGATTATTTTTCAAAGCTGATGTATTGATGGAAATAATTCTTAAGGAAAGCAGCTTTTGAGATTCTGATCCTCCCATATTTCAAACTAGCGCACTATTGTGCAGTGTCCTGGTCTCTCTGTTACACAACCAGTTCTTAGAGTGGATTTATACACTCTTGCTACAGCAGGTGCTCAGAAGTGCCTTCCGCTGGAAGCGCAGCTGGGCGCGCAGGGGGCGGTGTCTGCTGTCAGGGCGCTTACTCGGGTAGCGGAAAGCAATAGGGAGCCTGCAGATGACAACCCAGGGTTGTCACAGTGCGAGAGGATGATAATAAAACCCCTTAGAGGCTACGTATGATCTGCCACAGAAAAGCCAAATAATCATTGCCGTCGACCGTAAGGGTCTAAAATGAGTTCATCATTGCTCCCCTTTAACGACCCCCAACAACAGCATGGCTGCGTGTTCTCCACCTGCCCCGCCCCACAGCCTCCCTTCATCAGCCGAGATGAATCTGACGCAGGCTCATGCCTGAAATCCCGTGTAGAGGCTGCTGACCTCCACGGTGCACCCCCCAGGGCACCCCCTGAGCTCTGCGCCGCGCCCGGGCGCCCACAGACCCGGGCCCGGGCCCAGGCAGCGCGGCCTTTCCCCACC